CTGTTCACCAGACTTTTGGATATCGTTTCGTGCAATGAGTTAGTAAAACTCGGTGGTGTAATCGTCGACTGATTTGGTGCCTTGCTTCAAGCTTTGAAGCCTTTGGTACGTCAATCGTTGGAAATTATAGGGTAGAAAAGTAGCAAGAAGGTGTTTTTTCCATTTTTTTCCCCAAGTATTGACTTTTACCTTACCAAGAGGTATACGTGTCTATTTAGATTGTTTCCATAATGTTGAAGCTCGACCTCACAACCTTATAGCAATTAAAGGAAAACGTTTGTTTTCTGAGACCTCTTTGAGTTTGAAGACCTTATCTACCATCTCAAACCAATCAACAAACCCTTCCGGATTCAAGTCGTCCCCATGAAACTTTGGGATCTCGATCCTCAAGCCTGTTTCCTGGCGTCGGTTGTTTTTTCCTGATCTTGACCCCTACGCCTCCTAGGATTGCCTTCAGGTTCAAACTAACCATCACCACTGTCTTCTTTGAACAGGTTGTTGAAATATTCCTCCTCCCGTTTTGTGGAGTTCTTGGCCGAGGACCCCCCTGGTTTATTAAGTTGGCCAAGCGAATGGTCATTTAATCAACCACTGGTTTGAACCATTCATCCATTCGATCCATCAAATGTTGTTCCAACTCACGCTGATAGATCTCATCAAGGGCTTGCATGTGTGGTTGCCTCCATGGTACCATTAAAGCCGACCGGAACCAAACATAAACATAAACAAGGCTCTGGTACCAACTAACTAAAATTAAGTTAACATAACTGATGCAATGTAGACTAAAATTAAGTTAACCCCGTTTAGTCCACGAATACCCGGGAATTAACTAAGGCTCCAACCCTTGTTGATTTCGTGAAATACTGAGAGAAGAAGATAACCCAATGTCTCATTGATTACTAGGAATATCGAAAGAAGTGAACAAAAATGATCGAGAGAACTCAATTAACTATCATTCAAATTAGAAACAAAAAAAATACCTCAAAACCCATTCCAAACATCCTTAAATAACCAAACAAAACAATCAAGAAAAGGAAATAAGAATCACGCACTATCCTAAAGATAAGCTTGAATCAAGAGAGAATAATCCCCAATTTGTAGGAAACTTAAATTAGGAAACTATCTTAAGGAAACCAATAATTGGGATTTCTTCTGTATATTCCAACCGGCCATATCACATGTTGCCTTACCCCACATTCGTATTCATACCTCAATTTGTACCCGCATCACTCATCCCGATGGTACAAGAATCAACTTTGATACCATTTGTACGTTTCAAGCCCAAAGTAGAAAGTTGGTCTAATAACCTCGAAATTAACTTAAAACCGTGGTGGAACGTATTGGTAGCCCGTAACTTTAATCTTATAAGAAGCTCTCATCTCTACTTTCTATCTATGTGGGACGAGTTGTTACATGTTTCATGAAACCATTAAACACATTGAGATCGAATGTCACTTCATCCTTCAACATCTAGTTTACAATATTGTTCATTTGGTTCATGTCTCTTCCACTAATTACACCATCATACGTTTTTACCAAGACACTCCCTCCTCGACGTTTCTCAAACCTTGTTTCTAAAGTCAAGTTGGTCTTTCATGATTAGAGGTCCTCATAAAACCAATCTGGCCAACCTTGCACACCCAACACGAACAAAACTAAAAAAAAAACTCAAGCCGAGGTAATTTATATAAAATAAGGCTAGACTGCATTTATTTGGTTGGATTTGTGTTTGGGTAATTTGAACTCAATCCAATCCAACCCCATAGCTTTCTATACCATGGATTTACTATGATTGTTAAGTCTTTGATTAATAGGTACATTAAACATTAGACTTACCCACAATTAGCTATATATAAAATTATATTATCATTTCAACTTTAATTTTACTTTCCGCATGAACTTTCAACTATTTTTTTGAATTTGTTAGGCCTTTTTTTGTATATTCTCATTTTTATTTACTTTGTTTAAGCATAAACTTAGTTAGATCGTAAAATGATGTATCAAACTTTCAACCCGACCAACCCAACCGAACCCAACCCGCACCAGTTTGAGTTATAATTTTACTAGGGTTGAGATTTTTCAAACCGTAAAATATTAGGTTGAGTTGTTCAAATGTCTTCAACACAACCAATGCGTAGACGTAGCCCTAACAATGATCCACCTTAAGTTTAACTTAAGAGGGGTATTAGCTACATTGAGTAAATATGTATATAGATGTGTAAACGGTACGAGACAACTTGCGAGCTACTCGAGATCGACTCGGTCAACACTCGACTCGAATAGGTTCGACTCGACATATTAACGAGTTGAGTCAAGCTACTCAATACTCGACTCGAAAAGGTCGTAAGATACTCGATTATTTTATATATAATTAGTTTTATAATATAATCAGTTTTTATGATAAAATTTGTAAAATATAAATAATAAAAATGTCTTGTATTTTTAGATATTTAAACAAAATTATGTATTTTTTAATTATAAAAGTTAATTAATTATTTTTTTTATTAAAATCACATTTAGAAGAAGACAAAGAAAAACTACAAAAAAGGTTAGTGGAATTGTCCCACATTGGAAGATAGATGGTAAAGAAAAGGAGAAAAGATGTTATAAAAAGAGAGGGGAGATGAATGAAATTTATAATTTATCTTTTTGATGATGAAGTTTAAAGTTGATCTCTTTAGTTTTATAAAAACTAAGAGAATACATTTAAGTTTTAAAATTTATAAGAGAAATACCTTAAAATGTCATAAATGTCAATGGGTGAGATGGTTCGAGCTTGATTCTAGTTCGAGCTTGATTTGAGTTACAGTTCGAGCTTGATTCGAGTTCGAGCTTGAGAAATAGTTATCGAGTTCGAGCTCGAAAATTGGGTTTTGAGTTCAAGTTGAGTATAATGATACTCGAGCTCGACTTGCATCCTTTACACCTTTTATAGTTGATTTATGATTTTCTATAATTTTCCTTTATATATGTTTTCCTTTAGTATTCTTTTATGTTAGCTCTATGAATTTCACTTCCTTAATCGTGTTACATCTTATCCATAATTTATCATTTCTTTGTCAAATAGATTGCAGCCAATAGTGTCATCTCAAAAAGGGTTAGACAAGTATTTCACAGGCATTGAAATAGACTCGTCATGTTGTAGGGATATTGTTGAAGGGATTTGTTTCCACAACGAAGGGAAGGAAAGGGAACATTTGAGAAGTTTATAAAGTTAGTTTCATAAGTCTTGTTAAATTAAAACACAAGCCCATCTAAAGATCTTCGATTGGGTTAGTAGGGGAAGCTTGACATATATATTTAATGTCGAAAGATGGACCTTGATGTCTCGATTCAAATAAGTTTAACTGCCATACATACATATATATATATATATATACATATATATATATATGTATATATATATATATATGTATGTATATATATATGGGAGCGATCAAATGCAAACCACTCAATTTCAACAAACCGTGCAAACCGTATTCAACCAATCTTAATTTTTCATTTTGTTCATTTTTTTGTAATTATGAGAGGTTGATTAATCATTTTTATTGTGGAGGGTGTTAA